ATAATTTAAACTTCCAGGTGAACGTCCTCACCAATGCTCAGAATGTGAGCTGAGGTTCACCACACGCTGCCAGCTGAGTCGTCATGTTCAAGGTGTGCACCGCTGTGCTAAGAAGCATAAATGTCTTTTGTGTGGCAAGGAGTTCCTCTACAGCACTAACTTCAAAGGTGTGTGATGTACTGTAAACATCCAATTGGCCTGTGTTTCTTTTGCACTGTTTTACATTTGATCCTTTTTTGAATCTGCAAGGTGTAAAATATGTAAACAACCCTGTAATGTAGTACATATTTTTTCCATGATCATGTATTTTGGATACTGGTGACTCTTATTATTTGTGATTTCACTATCCATGGTTTTATTTCATTATCATGAGGAATATAAATACCCCATGTGTAGCCAGGTATTAAAGCCTGTTTACCTCCATCAACCTTCTCCAGACTTATCAAAGAATGTGATACAGATGATAAAATTTAGCATTAAAGAATTCTGATGCCAGTTTAACGTCAAAATGGTGATTGTTATGTGCATTTTGTTTCACATGGTTTCACTATATATATATGCATCAGTTCTCAGGAACACAACCCTAAGTATAGCGAGAGTCACCTATATCTCAAAACCAGTTTATTGCTTTCATGTTATCTATCTCATGCTGCTCTCTTGTGCATGAAATGAGTACTATGGTTTACATAAGTTAAAATGGTACAGGAGATGCTGTCAGCATAATAACACAAGTACAAAGAAAAAAAATATAACATCAACAGCATAGTCTCTTAATATAAATTATTCTTGTGAATTTTTGCTCACTATTGTACAAAGTCAATTCCCTCCAGGTGAGCAGGTGACCATAAAGAACGTACATCTCATTTAATATCACCTAATATTTATAATTTAATTTTTATCACTGTCATAAAGAAGATACATCACTCTTTGCAGCTTGTAATATTTGTCATTTAATTGTTATTACAAGCACATTTGCTGAGGCACGCAGGTCAGCGTAATAACAAGTGTGGGGAATGTGGCAAGACATTTGTGACAGCAAACGCCCTCTTCAGGCACCGTCGGTCCCATACTGGCGACAAACCATTTCAGGTAAATTCACATTACATATGTAAGTGCATTGTGCAATGACATGCCATTAAACCAATGACAGGAACCTTTACTTGACAGGTAAAGTCTCAGATGCAGTTTGTTAAGCTCCATTCCTCCTTACATTTCAGTGTAGCATCTGCGGGAAGAAGTTTGCTGATTGCAGCAACCGCAAACGCCACATACTGCGTCATTTGCAGCAACCCGTCGTACCCAGGGGACGGAAAAGTGGGCCTCGACCCAAGCTGGCCCGCATAAGTAATCTGAAAGATCAGACTTCTGTTCATCAACAGCCTCCGCCAAGTAATGAGGCAGAGGTATTGGAAGGCCAAGGCACTACTAAGGAATTCAGTAAACTGGTACAGGTATCTGCTTCACCCTCAGGAGGTGGCTGTCAGGCTGAGGGAAATAGCAATATAAATTCTAGTCAGGACAATCAGATTTCAGGTGAAGTTATTCAGTTGTGTAGTAGCAGTAATGTGGAGCTCAACAACCTTACCAGTGTAAGTACAAGCCAGTTACCACAACAATTTAATATTTACTCAACCAAAAATCAGTTTGTGTCTTATAACAACATGATAACTGATGCTTCAAATATTTATGTAAGTCTTTCTCAAGATGTGCCCCAACTTATACAGCTGTCTGCACAGGATACAAATAATTTTGTAATTCAGCCTGGGGACCATGATGTCTCTCACTTTGTACAAAATGATGATACAGAGAGGCAATATGGTGGTAAGTTGGATTCATCTCTAAAGGAGAAGTTGAGTCATTCTGTTCATATACTGAAGCCCACTGCAAAAGCAAATGATCTAACTTTATATACCAAGAATGTGCATCATGAAAATTCTATTCAGGATAATGGAAATGTTGTCATTGACAAAGATGACAAAGCTAAGTTGTATCATAATGAAGAAGATAACATAGACATGGAAGCAGACAATCCCAAGTCATATGTAAACTTGCGTACATTTCTTGAATCTTCTGAGGTAGTGGAAACACTGACGAGCAGCAGAAATGATGAAGTAGGTGATGGTGATAATGGTCTGGTAAATCTTGAATATGTAACACTAATGGCAGATGATGGAAAGGGAGGCAGCTTTTCATCACGGGTTCAAGAGATCATTGTACTTCCTCGTGACACCATAATTTCAGATTATGATTTGTCAAAGAATGCTGGAAGTCTTCGAATGGTTGTGCAAGGTAATGAGGGGAACAGTGACAGAAAACCTGCCTGCTGCACGGAACAAATCGTAAAGGAACACACTGAGCCCCTGACTGTTTTGACAGAGGCTTTTGTACCATCTCAGACTATAAATGATGACAGTCATCTGTCACATACAGCTGATAAAAGAAAGGTGACACAAACATCCAGTACTAACTGTAATAATTTAATTGAGGTACTGTTGCCCAGCACCAATGGAAATAAATTATCATCGAACACTGGCGGTGTGAATGATAAAGTTCAGAATGATACACTGGATTCATCTAATTTAGTACAAGTTCTTTTAGAGACAGAGGGCAGTAATACAAGAACACAGCAAGAATACACCATCAGAACTCAACAAACTTTGCTTGCTTCATCTGATGGTTTTGGTGATGAAGATGCAATTATTCGAATGCTGAGCAGTCAGGGAACTGTTATGTTGTCAAGAACTCTAACAGATTTTGACTTGACAAAATCACCTGTTGCTGAAGTAACGCAACTTACTGAAAGTGGCAGTGAGGCAGTAGGAAGAGCTATGAATGAAGATTGTACTCAACCGCTTTTAAATTTTAAATCATTTTCTACTGTAGATGCTACTGTAATGCATGAAACTACTGTCAGTAAAGAAGAAAGCAGTAGATGCATTGATGTGACATCTTCTGATTACAGCCATGAAATTTCCCCTACAACTGCATTTACCTCGAATAATTCAGATGTAAACTCAGTTCGAAAAGCTTTGTCAGAAGAACTTAAGGATGGAATGACATCTGGTGGCTTGCAGACAAGTGACCAAAATGAAATTTCAACAGGAACTATGGATGACATTGAAATTTTTGAGCTGTGTACTGAAGAAGACTTCCCAAAATTTGCTCCCATTTATCAGGTTTATCATACTGGCAAGTCAATAGAGAATGTTTAAATTAAGTGACATCCTTGTTTGTAGTTATAAACTGAGCAAACAAACTAATAGGATTAAGAAGACTAGAAAGTTGTACACTAATTTGGAGTGCACTGAATTACTTCTTCTATGGCTCTCCGGTCCCTGGTCCTCCAGGTTGGGGGTTGGTCGCAAGGCTAACAACCTTACACCGTAAAAAGGAAGATTTTTCGAAACCTCAATCAGAGCCTCGGACAGACGGACGTAACAGAGGGCCGAATGGAAGAGGAGAATTGAGGAGGCCATGGACCGAATACGGACCGGAGAGCCATAGAAGAAGTATATTGTAAACCAGAAATGTTTTTGTTGACAAATGTAGTCAACAACAGAATGATATATCACTCTTTATGTAAGGATGATTTAGGAGGGTAATATTAAAATGTTCTCAGTAAAATGGGTTGTGAGAATGTGCGCTTGATTGAACTGGCTCATGATTATTTGAGAGGTATTGAACCGTCTGTTGCCAAGGTTACATTACATAAGGATGACAACAAAAATGAAGTGGGTTTCTAGATTATTGAATGAAAACTAGATGCCATACTGGAAGAGAGATACATTTTAAATAATTTATGTCTAATGGATGTATCATGAGCCTGGGGAATACTACATTAGAATGTTAGAATTGTTTTAATTAGAAGTAAACAGGGTTTAGTTGTGTAATTAGAACACATTCCTTAATGGTCATAATGTTTGAAATTACTTCATTGCCATAATTTTATTTATTTTTTAATATGGTTCAGTTTTTTATGAGGTGTCACACCAACTCAGCTGTCTAGTCACAGGTCAAACATCATATCTAGTCAATATCTAGTCATATTAAATTACTTTCATGTCTGTGAGAAGTATCCTGCGTTAATAATATATTACAATTAGAAATATGTTTTAGTTTTATATGAATATATAAGCTATATAATGAGCAGGGTGCCTGAAACAGCTGTAATGTATTGTATACTGATTCTGTAAAGGTGTGTGATAATGGTTGAATTAGTATACCAATATTTTGTTGAACATATATATTATGTGACATATATTTGTAAAAGGACTTACAGCATTCTGCCTTTTGGGTGTGCAAAAACAGATTGGTTAGTTTGGCAGTGACTTATCTGTGTTATGTATTACATTTTTTTATTATATGCAAGTATCTCATGTTCTGATGTGCTTAGAATGTAGTAAAATGAAATACCCCCTGCTGCACTTAACTTGCTGTATGAAAAACAATTAACATCCACCCAGTGTTTGACAGACAGTCTTCTGTATAGAAAACTTAACACATTTAACAATTTGTTTCATTCCTTTGATACAGTGATGTTAAATTTAAAGTGTAGCATGTGAAGGATGTTTGAGAAACAGGTATGGTATTGTCAGAATACAATGATTTTAAATGGTGTGGCATTTGCTGCGGAATTTTGTGGTAGTGAATTGTTCTTACACTGGCATATTTTTTGCTTTTTGCCTGAAATGATAAGGAGTTGAATACATAAATTATTGTGATAAATGTAGTATTATAAGAGCTGAAAGTTAATTTTTAAATATGTTCATTATGACAGCTGTATTTTTAAGAACTTTTTATAACTATCAAACATTCCTTTGTGATTTTATGGGTATCTTTGATTATATGCAGTGCTTTTTATTTATTTCATGTAATACAAGAATGATTAGTTTTTTATTTTAATATCCTGCTAATTCAAGTTTATAGTTCATTCACTGTCCATTTTATGAATTGTTTTTTAACCTGATTTTCTTCCAAGTCAGGCTTACGGAATTGTGGTGGCTGTGTGTGAATGTGGATGCACATGCATCTGTAAATTAGTGCAGGTGTCTGATGTGCATTGCTTCTGGATTTTTAGGTTTTAGGACTGTCCATCATCTGATTTTATAAAGTTATTCAGCATTTTGAGGTCCAGTGATTGAGATTAGCTTAATCTAATGGATGCCACAGAGTAGGTGCCCTTCCTCTTCCTCACACTTGAAGACGAGGATATATCCGTTCCTCAAAGAGTTGTATGTAATTTTATAAAATCACACAATGGACAGAGTCCAAAAATTGTAACAATCCAGATTGTATTACACAATTGTTAGAACCCTTCAGAATAGATTTGATTAATTTCCATGACAGTCTGATTCAAGCATTCTCAGATGTGAAATACACTTCTCGTTTTGCCACAGCTTTCATTCAGGTAAGTGGGTTTCATAATATTTTTATCACAAAAACAAAGTTCTAGAACATTGAATGTTTGAGCTACATTTTCAAAGTGTGATGGGGAGTGCATGCTGACCAGCAGCAGTATTTGGTTGCTAAGAGGGAGCAAGGAACAAAAATAATCAGTTGTTTAATCATAATTATTCCCAGCTGTTTTTGTATAGATGTCAATGTCAAATGTCTTCAATTTTTTTATTCAGTCCAGCATAACCTAGTGATTTGAATGTTGGTGGTGGACATCTGGGTTGTGCTGTTTAGTGTTTTGTCTGTATATCAGTTCTTTGAAGGAAGTACTTCCATCTTCAGCCAAGAAAACCTAAAATTAATGGGACTTTATTTTAATATTACCAACTATTTACACATTAAAGTAAAATTGTTAAAGAGTTACATGTTATTATAAGATGTAAAGTTGCAGATGGGAAGGTAGTATTAAAGTTGATCGCCAGCGATTTAGAGTATGATATTGAAGTAGTTGATTTGGCTCAGGTGAGGAACCAGTGGTAGGATCTTGTGAACATAATAAAGAGTTATGTGGGCCATCTCTTGATTTGGTAAGCTGCTCAACTTCATGAGGACTGATTTATGTAATTAGTTACTTCGTAATAAAAGGAGATTCTAGAATGATTAAATATGGAGTATTGTGAATGCCGTTAGCTATGTTGCGTTTAATTGATTTGAAATTTGCGTTAGGCCGTACCCTTTTGAATTATCGGTACAGTTCAGCAGAATTTACATGTGACGCCATTTTCCGCCAACTTAATTTTGAGACCGATATGTCTGTGGTACATCTGTGACATTGAGATAAAATAATCCGTGGTAGCAAGATGTGTTTATAATGTAAGTAGTTGTTGGGTACCAGGATGTGTTTGTAATGTAAGTAGGTGATATATACCACAAAACGAATTGAAGTTGTACAGCAGGTGGTTTCAAACCGTTAAAGATATACATTCACCCCTTTTTTTAATATCTCTCAGGCCTCGTCGTTGTAAATGACAGAATACTGAAATGTCATACCATTAAAATCTGTACTTTCAGTCGTAAACAGGTTCCCGTATTAACCTAATCAATGCTTTTTAAAACATTTGTTGATATATTTCATTTTAAATATTTATTTACAAATTTTTAACTTGGGTGGTAACTGTGTTTTATTACAAGTTGCCGCGGTATGAGAACCCATGCTGGTAGGCAAGCAAGCACTCCTTTGCGAAACAAATTTTAGTTTCTAGTTCCTTCGAGGCTAGTGCAGGGACAGTACCTGAAAAATAGTCCATTACCCTTATCTCCAATGTCCTAAACTCATAATTCGTCTTCATCATGTCATTTGTCACTATATAACCCTTGGAGTTGACACATTATCACTAAAAAGAGAAAAATACGAAGCAACTACAAATAATACTTTCTTTCAAAACTGCCTGTTTTGTGATTCTTTTGTTTGTGTTAGGAAGGTACAATTTTTTATTTTTTCAGTTAAAAATGGAACTTTCTTCATCATTGACTTCTGTTGGTTTGGGTGATGTAGAAGGATTTGGAGGTCTTTTGGGCATTCCTCTTGACCAGCCACATGCACTGGAAGCACTTGGTACTAAGCGCAGAAGGTGAGATGTAAATGTCATGTTGAATTATAAATACTGTGTACTGTTAGAATGATATATACTGATCCTTTGTGAAAATTGGTCAGGTCATTTGAAAACAGAAGCAGAGCCAGCTTTCAAAGCACTGTATGGTTGTCAAACCAAGATGAAATAAAATATCCAAATATATACTAAATTTAAATGTTTGTTGTTTGTAATACATAACTCTTTATTTAGGTTGACATTCTTTTTGAACTTTGCAGTAGTTCTCGTTCTATCAAGCGACGAAGATTTGATGATGAATTGGTGGAGTCAAGTCTTGGTACACCAGGGAGTCTTGCCTCAAAGGTAGCTCGTGCTCGCACACAGTCAAACTCCAGCCCCGGGCTCAGTCAGTACAACACCACGTACAGTTCTCGAGTTCCCTCAACACCTAGCTCCAGCTGTGCACCAGGTTAGTGCATATAACAGAACACCTCTTGCATGAAGCACTTATGTTTGCTATGTATGCTGTCTGTACTGAATATAGTATTTATTGATCCCTTGTGAAAATGTTTAGCAGAGCTGGGGTCATCAAGCAGTGTTGTGGCATTGCCTTCAGTGATGACTCCTCTGACACTCCCAGAAAATCGTCAACCACGTCGCAGTGCTACCAAACCATCATCTTCATCTGGAGGTCGACGGAGCAGGCGACCTCGACACACTCACTCAGTAGCCACCAAAGATCTTGGACGATGGAAGCCAACCGATGACTTGGCACTTATCTTAGGTATATTTTCAAATGAAAGTAGCAAATTTTTGCCTTATAACTTCATCTTGTCAGTCTGTCTGTCTGTCTGCTTACCTACATGTGCCAACTCAAGAATGGCTGAACAGATTTTCATGAAATTTGATATTAGGGAATTTTACTGACATTTCAGTTTTAGGACTTTTGGTTTTTATGGCTTCGAGTGTGAAAATTACTGTCTTCTGGGTAGTAACATCATGTAATTTCAAGAAGGTTACTGATATTTCAGAGTTTCTTGGTGCCTCTGAAATGTCAGTCAACTTTTAACAAATTACATGGCTCTTTAACCCAGACTGGTTGACAATATTGGGAACTTTGTGTGAATACATGCATTTCCACACATGGAATTACTAGGTGGGGATTCATCAGGTTATTCTGGTTACCATGATAGCCACTTAACAGCTTCATGGTCTATTTTACTGACATCTAGTTCAGTATTGTTGTATGGCATTCTGCCTTGTGATGGCCGATCCCTCGTCCAAGGAGTCCTACCGAATGTCCATAGATCAAGTCAACTAAAAAAAAAAAATGTTGGGGACCCGTGAAAGGTTACCAGAAAATGTATAAACATTGTTAAACCGGAAAAAGAAGAAGTATGGCATCCTAGATCTCATTGATGGTCTTTTCCTTTGAGGTTTTTAGATAAAAATGTTAATGGTTTCCTTTCAGGCCAATGACCTCCGTACGGTTCATCGAGGCACTAAGTTTTCCTGCAGGTTCACAGTGCAGGAACTGCAGCAACGTTGGTATGCCTTGCTGTATGATCCGTCCGTGTCACGTGTGGCAGTGGCAGCTATGAGGAACCTTCACCCTGAACTCATAGCTAATGTTCAAAGCCGCACGCTCTATTCCAAGGCTGAGGAGCAGCTGCTTGGCACAATAAAGTCTGTGAGTGTACTGCCCAGTGTCATGAGATTAACTCGGTATGGAGAGCAGTAGATGTTAATGTCTGTGATGTATAAATTCCCTGCTGCTGTTTTATCACAGTGATCACATAAGCTTGCAGTTTGGTCCTGAATCTGTTGAATTCAGTTCATATCTTCAACATGAACTGTTTTCTTGTGATTCGTTTAATATCATCTTGAATGTGCCTAGTTTTCTATGCAAAACTTTATACACATTTATTGTTTTCCCACATAATCCTCTGTTAGTCATTGTTTTCATTGTAAATTCTTCATTATAAGTTGTCTTCATTTTTCATATATTGTTTCATTGGTCTTTGCTTGTACCTTTCGTGTTTCAGACGTCACAGCCAGGACTGGAAGTTTTCCAGAACCTTCTGGAACATAACCCACACATCCTGTACCCTGCACGAACTGCCAAGGCATTGTTAACACACTGGCAACTTATGAAACAGTACCATTTGTTGCCAGATCAAACAGGTAACAAAATAATTGTGCATTCACTGTGATAGCACATGAAGCATTTCTTTATCATAATATGGCTCCTTTGTGAGTGATATTAGAAAGGTATATTTCTACTCTTGTCTGCTGTTGTCTGTATTGGAAGGCATTCTCAAGAGCTTGAACACTACTTTCAATACTTCCATTGCAAAGGCATTAATGAACACCTTTAAAATGTTCCATATTTTGCACAACAAATGTCTTAAAACAAATTCTACGTGATTTCAGACTGTGGAATTAGGAGTCTGTGCATCCTGAATGTAGTGGACTTAAAAATGTGTTCAATGATATTAAATAGTTAGTTGAAAAATTTTGATTTGAAAGCCGTAAGGGGCGATACCACCTGAAAGACCTAGGCATAGATGGGAGTACAGTGTTAACCCATTAAAGCCCAATCATAACTATACAGTATAATAAAGAGACCTGCATTTTCTTCACAGAATATTATATGTATTTTGTGTGATTCTCAGAATAAACAGCAATTATTTACATAAACTGCGTTAACCAATTGGTCTTTGCAAGAGAGAGATGTGTTTTCCCTGAGGTAGGCACTCCGGTTTTAAATATTGCCTTGAAAGGCTTAAAATGGATCTTGAGGAAATTGAGTAGGAGGGTGGTGTGCACTGTATTCATCTGGCTAAGATTAGGAACTGGCGTTGGGCTCTTGTGAAAATGGTGCTTCATGGAGTTAATTGTGTATGTTGTTTGTTATTGTTTAGTTCAGTCTCTGCCGCGGGGAGAGCATGTTCTCAACTTCTCAGATGCGGAGGAACTAATCAATGATACAGAACTAACTGAGACGCAGGATGAGATCTTGGAACAGGAGCTGGCAGTGGCAGATAGGTGAGGGACCAATCATAGTATTTTTAATTAAGTGTGTGCCATATTAAGAACACTTCAAATGGAAGCTGTAGATGGCCAAAAGATCTAGATGTTATACTGTGTACCAACTTCTTATATTTTTTTTTGTGAAAATAGCAAAGTTCAACTTGAGTGGTATGTAAAGTAGGGGTTATTTTAGAACAGTACAGACAAAATAATATTCACGTTGTGGTTTTTAGTGTAAACTTCAATACCAAACTTAATTAAAATCTATTCAGTAATGTTAGGGATGAAAGATACAGATATATGGCCATGTTGTTATACATTAATTTATGCACTGTATGCAAATAAAAAATACTAATCATTTAATCTAATATCTGCTGTTCTAATTTTAAATACACACAAAATATTATACTTCTCTTTCATACACTCAGTTTTTCCTGATATTTCTCCTTAGACTGAATATCGACAAACATGTAATAAACTTATATAATCGCATATTTCAGAGACTTGTTCACAGCTTATAATTTCCTTGTGTTGCAGACATGCAAAGAAGGAGATCAGACATCTTGAAAATGAGTTAGGTCGATGGCAGGTCCTTGTTGATTCTGTAACTGGTATCAGTCCTCCTGATTTTGACAACCAAACGCTGGCAGTATTGCGGGGTAGGTTGGTGAGATATCTCATGCGATCCCGAGAGGTATGTAAATCTCAGCTCATTTATGTATCATGCTGTGAAATTGAGAAACTTGTTGGCTTATAACATTAATATAATTGAATTCACTGCGTGGTATCTAAGACCTACATATTGGAATCCACATTAGTATTTTATAACTTCCAGTGTTTGAAAATATTACCAGTGAAGTTCAGTAGTGCAACGCACGACTTCCCAGGCCACATACGTCAAGGGACTTACTTAACTCTTGCGTACTTTGCAGGGGATATTGTTTTCAGGAACTGATGATGCTGCATCAGCATATCTATGTATCAAAGTATTTTGCTTATATCTGGAACATAAAAGTGTCAAATAAGGCGATATCTTGGGGAGTGCGGTGGATTTGAAACACCGGGAAATATGTTGTATCTTTAGATCACAGTCGGACGTTCAACGCATGACCACAGTGTGGATGTTGACCTCTCATTAGAGGGTCCTGCCTGGAAGGTATCACGTCGTCAAGGCACTATCCGTCTTCGAAACAATGGTGACTTCTTCCTCTCTAGTGAAGGAAAGAGAGCAATATATGTTGATGGACGTCCAATTCTTGCAGGGAATAAATACCGTCTCAATAACAATTCTGTTGTAGAGGTAAGTCAAGTCTGTATTTTTTTATGAGGATAATAAACATTATCAGGTCTTCAGAAATATAAGTTATGTGAGTGATTAAAATTGAAACCACAATTTTCATTGCTCCTGGATGCCTCCGTTGGCTGGAAATCTGTCCTAAAAAATTCTATTCTACAGAGATGAGGCAGGTTTTTACACATAGAGGGAGAATGCCTTGAGAAAAATGCCAAATATTAAACTGGTAATATGATTTATTGACATGCTACGATAAATATTGAGGATCAAATTTGAACTGTCTCAGTAAATCTCAGCTGCTGCATTTTCTGCCTGCATTAAATTGTGTATAATTCTGGAGTTATGCATTATCGCCAAATTTATGCCAAGTATCATTGCTGACCTCTCAGTAATTTACTGTCTTATTGATCATTTATGTGACTCTGTGCATAGCAGTTTTATGGAAAATACTGGAAATAAACCATTATACTTGTTATGGGTTGAATGACTTTATGGTTACCTATAATTAGAGGTGGAATTATGCATGTTTTAAGTGATCTGAAGGGTGATCTTCTTGTTACAGATTGCTGGACTTCGTTTCATATTCTTGGTGAACCAGGACTTGATAAGTGTAATCCGCCGTGAAGCTGCCAAGATGAACCTCCAGCCATGAAGCTTCTGTTTAGGTGATGGTTGAACTTCATGCACCAGTGTTTCTGTAAAATTAATTTCATGTGAACTCCCATTTCTGACATCTTAATCCTTGATAAATAAATATTAGGTAAAATTGTGCTACATCAGATACCTACTGTCTGTGAAATTTATGTGGATTCTGTATGGTATGCAGGTAGGTATTTGTTGTTACTTTCTGTAATGCCAAAACTAAAATACATTAACAAGTGATTTTATTGCTTTTATTGTGAAATGTGATTTCTAATTTTGAAGAAAATATGAAATGTACTTAAAAGAAAGTGCTCAGGAATGTATTTGGACTTCAGAAGAAGTGCAAAATGGTGGATATCAATCCTTTATGTGTAGAACTAGTAAAATTATATGTCACTTGCTGTGCTAAAAAGATGAGTGTATACAGAACATCTAAGTGAAGTGATCTGATAGTATGAAAGTACAGTGAATTTAGATGATGCAGCAGAGAATTGAAGTAACAAAGAACTCATAAATTTTATAGCTCAGCCGACATTGGTAGGGTAGTCATATTAAAGAGGTTATGAGTGAGTATGTAAGCTCGAATGGAGGAAACAAGAAATATGTGCAGATGTTTTGTGGAAAGCATTCATATGAGAGACCAAGAAGGAGATGGAAGAACAATATTAAAAAGTATCTAAATCATATAGTATCTGGTATGCAATGAGAGCATGAAGTTGAGCATTTCCCCGAATCTAGTATTGAGGTCAAGAATGCGTGGAGCTTTACTCTAACTGATCTTACTTCCTCATGTTCATAGAAAAATGTAGAACGTTTCTGGTTTTTTGCGTAATACTTGCGCAGTGGCGATGCTAATATTATCTATGTATTAATGTAGTGCAGCTGTGACCAAAGATGTATAGATATATTACAAAATCTAGTACAATACTTTCTGTTAATGACAATATATACTCGTTTATGTTGTTTGGTAGAGAAAAATATGTTTACAATCATGTATATAGTAACTAAAGGTGGTTTTCGTATAAAATTGTTTTAAGCTATGGAATGATGCCCTCTTCCACTGATATAGTGCTCTTTGCCCGAGAAAGGAAGTTAATGTCACAGATAATGTATGTACTTTCTATGGATAATATTAACGTTTTAGTACATCTGTAATGTGCTTGGGTTGTGGTGTGTATGTTGTAGTGTCGTTCTGAGTGCGAGGTTATTTAGTTTCTTGTTCACATATTTAACGTATTTTAGTATAGTTAAGCAATAAAGGTAAGAGCGAGAATGAAATCATTTTCGGCCCTCCCTGGTATTGTGAGAAAATTCGTGGGTTTCAATAATTTATTTGTGTCACATTGTTTCAAGATATGTAGAATATCGCGTAAACCTTGTTCAAACACGCGAGTAATTTGGGGCGTGATTCAGCAAAGATACTGCTATCAACAGTCGCAGGTAATGCTTAAATTGGGAATTGTTTGTTATACGCTTTTGTCGTGAGTACGATTATTGGTAAACCGCTGAAATGGTTATGCGGGGGCCGAACCTAACCTATGTAAACTGAGAAAAAGGACCGGCGAAAGGGGTAACTTGTGGGATGGTGTGCCGTGTAGTCTGGTTCGTATAAGTTTACCTACATTTCAGAGGTGCGTGCTGCCTCCATCATGAAGGTGATGAGTCATTGAGGAACTCATCACCCTCATGGGCAGCAGTCACCTCCAAAGCGTACTTAAACTTGTATCAGACGACACGGCACAGTCATTTTTATACTCGCCGCCATGAGTACCTCAAAACTCAAAAGGAATGGTGTTTACACACTCCTCTGACTAAACATAACCCAGGAGGAATGTGAAAGTTGTGTTGGTGGTAGTTGTTCTGGATAAACCAATGTTCTGCAAGCTTCTTTCACCTGTGGCACACCATAATTTTTTATAGATACATGATGGCACATCACAAAATTTTGCCTCATGAAAAGGGGGTACAAAGCAATACATGGCCCTAAATATGTATCTACATGTAAATCCTTGCTACTATGTGTATTATGAATTATAATTATGAAAAGCAAGACTTTGCTTTTTTCTAACTATGAAGAATGAATTTCCAATTTCATATAAAAATTTGTGGCACACTGGTTGTGGAACACATGGATAGACTGAAAATGGAAGGTTGTGAGTTGATGTACATTCATCAGCCTCTGTTTTTTCTCTTGTCATGGAAGTAAATGTTTGTTATACAATATAGAGTTGAAAAAAGAAGTATAATTTTAATTAAATGAGCCAAATTTTTAAATGAAGAGAATATTATGATTGAACACTTCATTTTGCTAAGTGTGCAGCTGAAAATGGTCACAGTATGTGTCACTTATATCACCATTTTTACCTTAAGATTGTAATAAAAAACAATTTTTGCAGGGACTGCTTTCAGTAGATTCACAAAAGGCAACACAAGTTTTACTTCAGAAACAGATGAAGCTGATATATCCAATTGCAAGAAGAGATGAAGATGTGGTGGATAATTACCATGGGCACAAAGTAAATATATATATATGACAAAGTTTTGTGTAGTTGAGATTACTACTATAAAACAACATTATTGTAAGGCGAAGCATTAAAATTTAGGCTGGGATACTGTTCTAGGCATACAAGAGCTAGTATGTGACATAAAGTATAGATCTCATTAAGATCTGGAGCTTCCTTTACAAAAATATTTTTACAAGGTAAATGTTTAGTGAAATAGGACAGTATGGCACAGAAAATCAGTCCACATCCTGGTTTTGTAAGTCTTAAAATTGCATTTTAATTAAAATTTGCATAATGTATGGAAATATGAGTATGTGCATCGTTGTGTTTCAGATACTTGACCCATACCGCTGGTTAGAAGACCCTGATTCTCCAAACACTTCAAAATTTGTTGATGAGCAGAATGCATTGACAAGACCCATTCTTGAGAACTGTTCTTCTCGTTCTGATATTCTTGCTCGATTAACAGAACTGTGGAATTTTCCAAAGTATTCTTGTCCATATCGACATGGTGATAAATATTTCTTCTACATGAATACAGGACTTCAAAATCAGAGGTTAGTTTTACAGTTCATCTTCTAACAACTTGAATGTTTTCATATCAGTATGGGTGCCATATGTTTCCTTTCAGCACTATATATATAAAACCAGGCAAGACTTATTGTTAAACTTCATATGGTGGCAGTATATAAGGAAATATTGTCATTATTTGCTTAAGCCACTTTTTCTTACATGGATTTTACATAATTACAGTATTTACAGACACTTATGTGTGACTGAAAGACAGGGTTTTGTGGTTTCCTTAGTCCATCCAGACAAATGCTGGAGTGGTGTATTAAATTAGGTCATGACCCTTTCCTTCCGCACTCTTTCAAACTCACTATTAATTTATCATCATAAAGACACTATACAGTCTTAGCAACAAGAATAAAATTAGATATTTTACTGTTAAGTGCTGTATGCCTGGAAGACATACAGATATATATGTATATAATTATTGAGTACTAATTCTTTAATTTGTTTCTCTTCTGATAGTGTGTTATATATCCAAGACTCACTAGATTCTAAACCCAGAGTTTTCCTTGATCCGAATCTGCTGTCAGATGATGGAACTGTAGCATTGTCAAGAACACGTTTTTCTGAAGATGGGAAGATTTTAGCGTATGGACTCAGCAGTAGTGGTTCAGATTGGGTAACAATTCACTTCAAGTTGGTGGACACAGGTTAATAGACATGTTTTCATAATATGGCCCTAATATATTTTAAGGTACAGTGTATTTATAAATGCATCCAACATCTAAAAGGGAAATATTTTGTAGATTGCCTATAGGCTAAATGAAAAATTGAAGAAATAGGTATGGCTTCTGTTTTTTTTTTAATTATCTTTCCCCTTATATGGGCATTTAGTATCTCCTTCCTCAGCATTTCACCGTTGACTCTGAATCCTTTGCTTCTCATGTCCGTTAGTTAGTCTTCAACACTATAGTTTTCACTTCAGCCATGTTTTGATCACAAATAATGGTTATAAGAGATGGTAGTTGGTAACACTGTGCACAGATGTGAGGTGGGGGCCATGCTAGTGGCTGAGTGGACAGTGAAGATACTGGAAAGGTAGAAATGTGTTGAAGGATGCACCTGTTTCTTCACTTTGGTGGGATAAATTAATGCAGATTTATGTAGTGATCTAGTTTTATTTCTTCATTTCAAGGTGAAGATTATCCTGAAGTTTTAGAAAAGGTGAAGTTTTCATCGATGACTTGGACTCACGATAATGAAGGATTGTTTTATGGAGTAAGTATTATGTTTTCAGGTTTTTAAGAAAGAAGAACTTTGTAGGTTATTTTTCAGATTCTTACAGGCATGTGTATGAAGATGACTGTCTATATGATATTGCATCATGTGGTCTCATAGAACCTTGCCAGTGTGTCAGAGGTGCTTACTGCATTCATCATCAGGACGATCGCCATAATGATGGATGCAGTGGGCACCTTTGAAACACCAGTTAAGTTCTTTCCAGATTGCATGGCACAACATCCCAAAAGATGGTAATCTTAAATTAATCGACAGTTTACAATGACGCTTCGTGACGTAAGCTTGAATTGTGTACACATAGAGTAAAATTCATCATTGTCTTCATGGTATGTCACAGTTGGCCTGTTTTGTCTCGGAGGGAGTCTTTCGATCATATCCCACCACCATTCCTCGTTCCATGCACTGAATATGTTTATACCATCAGAAGTATACATTAATAAGAAGTTAATTCAACGTTATAATACTGTTCTTTGCAATGACATTTTATTGTAAATGTACACTTTGGAAATATTCTTAACAGACAAGCAGTTCTTATGTACAACCACAATGAATCTCAGGTGTGGCAAATGAATGTTGCAGGAGGTACTGGGTCGAAGTTACCGCAAGGTTTTAAATGTGTAAAGGGATTACTTCAGAAGGGCAAGATGCATGCATGAATGAATGAAGATGTTGAAGTAATTTTAAAATGTGTTCTGAGCTAACCTAATTGTAGACTAAGCAGCTTCTAATTTTAAAGAGTTTTTGTTAAACATTTTAAAAGTGTCAAAAGAAATTTTTGCTCCTCACTCATACAGACATTCCGCTGAAAACTTTCTGAATTCTTTCAATCCAATTATCACTCCTCGAATAAGTATTTACAGGTAATTTGTGAATACGAAATAACACCGCATGGTGTTTTATCGTTTCTCTGTGTTTTAAAAGTTGTAAACCTATTGATTGATGAAACATTAAAAAACAGAATTTTGACTGTTGACATTTATTGTGATGTCATTATTACATTCTGTGTCACAACTGAATTGCAAAACATATAAAAAAATTACATTTCACAGAGATACCCTGACCAGGTCGGCAAGGCTGATGGCTCAGAAACTGTCGGCATGCAACACCAGAAACTTTATTATCACCGTGTTGGTACACCACAATCAGAAGATATATTGGTTGTTGAATTTCCTGAAGAGCCATTATGGAGAATGTAAGAAAATACTTTCATGTCCAGTGGATAGCGAATGAGGGGAAATATAAAAGCGACAGTGGGGATAGTCATACCTTTATATATTCTCTGATTATGTTCCTGAAAATCACTGTGTACATAAAATATTTGAAAAGAGACCAAATTATTATATAAAATAAGAGTTTTGTTGTTAGACTTGTAATATTCACTATTTCGTGTTCGTTATCATTCTAGCTTATATCATTTGAAGCTACGTTACTTTAGCAGTTGTTGTAGCATTGTAAATTGACAAAATACGCAGTTGGTGTTGTCCAGATATAATTAGTATTGTCAGCATAATAAGTCTAGGGTTTTCTTTTTTGCATTATGTGGTTAATAGCGTTTTGTCGTTATGATGTTTTGCTTTGTATTTAGAGATGCTGAAGTGAGCGACTGCGGTCAGTGGTTAATTGTGATGCCACAGAAGGACTGTCGTGATAATCTGCTCTTCTTCTGTGACCTGAAGAGCCTGCCTGATAATAAAATCTCGGGGAAACTGAATCTTACACAAGTAGTTTACAAATTGGAAGCTGACTATGAGGTAATGTTGCTGTTTTGTTTCTGCACCGTGTTCCAGAGTAGAAACTTTAATAATCTATACTGTCTGTCAGCACCATCAGTATGGTCTCTTCATTTATAAGGAAACCACTAAGTACAGAGATGATGAGATGGTGCAGAAGGCATAACACAAGAGTAGTGAAAGAGCCATGAAAGAAATACGATCTAGTAATAATCAGTCCTCGTACTTTGTTATCAGCGTGGTTTTATATTGAACGTGTGCATGGAATGAGATAATCTTTTATAGTTTTAAAACAAAACTGTAATATTGCAACTAATTTGTTGTTAATTTTCTCTGCAGTATGTGACAAATGAAGGCCCTATATGTATTTTCCGCACCAATAAAAATGCTCCCAACTATCATCTGATCAAGATTGATTTCACTAATCCTAGCCAAGAAAACTGGACTACATTGGTCCCTGAACATGAGAAGGATGTGTTGGATTGGGCTAGTGCAGTGAAGAATGACAAATTGGTTGTGTGCTACATTCACGATGTGAAGGTGAATTTAATTGTTTGCTAATGGTGAATGCGGTAGTGGTTGGAACTCTTGTTTTATGTTTGGGAGGTTTTAGAGATTGGCTGTCATGTCAGAGGTATTTGTGATTTTACTGAATTTTACCATGCACTGAGGTAGTACATTAAAATAGGCCAAGGTTGGTTCCACATGTTTTGTACTTAATAATTTTAATATCTACTTCCTGTTTTCAGAAATATGTATGTTCCCAGTAGTCTCTTTTGTGATATAATATAAATTTCTCTAGTATTAGCTTTTCATATGGTGAATTATGCTATGATCTGATTGTTTGCTTCAAATTGAGGTCATTGTAAATGTTTGCAATGTAACATTTATGACAAACCATGAAAAAAATGTTAATTTCATCCACACATTTTTATTGTTTTTATGTTTAACAAAGCACGAAATTGAACTTTTTTTTTTTGAAATTCTGTCCTAATAAAGTTTATGTGTTGTTGTACAGAGTGTCTTACAGCTACATGAGCTCAATACTGGCGCTCTGCTCAAGACGTTCCCACTGTCTGTCGGCACAGTTACCGGCTACTCGGGCAAGAAGAAACACACAGAGATATTCTATCAGTTTACGTCATTCCTCAGTCCTGGCATTATATATCGCTGTGATCTCACAAAGAGTGTGTTAGAACCAGAGGTAAGTAACTTGTTCATCACTGTTTTCTACAGAGGACTTTATGAGTTCAAACCTACCTATGGCAACATTAAAAAGTTTATTTCCTTAAAATATTAATTCATTTAATTCATGTTGTGTTGTAGAAAGTCTGACGTGAAATATAAGGAGCATCGTGTTGTGAATCGGAACTTAAATGTTTATTAGTTCCATCTTTACACAGCACACAGGTATTCTTTGTTTGAGTCTTATATTAATTCACCCCACTACCAACAGGGAAACATCTCCAGAAGAATTTCAAGAAAAATCAACATTACATTTTGACTTCTTAATCTTCATTCAGAAAGAAAAACGTCAGACCTGATTCAAAGCTACCCAACAATTTCAACGGTGTACGAGCTTGTGAAATGGAAAAGAAACGTGAAGATGGGATAATCAGTTCAAAAAAAGTGGTGTTAATATAGGATATGAAGAAAGAATGCTCGTGTCTTGTGTAAAGACTATACTAATAAATATTTAAACTGGTTTCACCTGAAAATCTGCCATGTTTTTAAATTAATATGGCTCATAATTCACATACTTACGGTGCCATTTGTTGTTGGAAGTCAACACTTTCACTTTCCGTTGCTCTTCTAAATTCAGCCTTTTGTTTATCATCTGTAGTGATGACAATAGAGATCGAGTCTGTTTATTAGAATAACTAATTAAGAATGTAGTTGTATGGACGAGAAAGGAGATTTTTTTCAGGGAATAAAAAATTAAGATATTGAATAAATTGCCATTTGGGATATCAGTGACGATGCGAGGAGGCCAAGTGAGGGAAAATACACGCATGAGAGTAGAGATGGAATGAGCACAGCTAAAGAAATGGAAAAGACGGTCATAATAGAGCTGAATGGTTGACCCTGGTAGAGAGGTCGGTGGTCGGTGGTGACTATATAAGGTTGTCTAAAATTACAAATAGCCGTCTGTGGTTTCTGAGGACTTTGTTTGTCAAGATAATGAAATGTTTACTATATTTTACAGGTGTTTAGAGAAATCAGAGTTCATGATTTTGATGCATCTCAGTACGAAACTAAACAAGTTTTCTATGAGAGTAAGGATGGCACCAAAATTCCAATGTTTTTGGTCTACAAAACCGTAAGTAATAGTGTAGTATCGAATTAAGAAGCTAAGTGATCACAGCTCTTACCAGGAATACAAATGATTTCAAATATAATTTTCTTTGAGTTATTTATGTGAGATTTTAGGTTCTAGTGGTGGTGAGTATGAAGATGGCTTTCTTCTGGCTTGTTGCGCCATGTAATCTTGTAGAAGTAAACTGATATTTCAGAGGTGCTTGCTGCCTCCATCATCAGCAAGCATGTCTGAAATACCAGTAAACTTCCACTGCCAGAAGCCAGTTCTCTTCACATCCACCACAGTGAGATCCTCAAATCCTACTCGTGCATGCACATTTTTTAACGTCACCCACAAGCTACTTTACCTTTCCTTCTTATATGTATTGTATTCTCAGACTTTTTTGGTATGAATTAGACTTTCTCTTACTGACGTACAGAATTACTTTGAGTAGATGTGATGTTACGCTGATTTTATTCCTTTCGTTGCAGGGTCTTGTGAGGGATGGTAAACAACCATGCCTCTTGCATGGTTATGGGGGTTTCAATGTCAGCATTTTACCCACCTTTAGTGTCACCCATCTTGTCTTCATTCAGCATTTTGGAGGAATTCTTGCTGTACCAAACATTCGAGGAGGCGGGTGAGTTTGCTCTGCTAGCCATTGCCATTATATTTTCTAATGTAATGAAAGGATTAAAACTTCAGAGAAGAAATTCATGAATCTCTCTCTAATCTTTGAGGGTTTGTCAATTTTATCAAAAAACTTACAAAAGTTTTTAATTACTGTCTTCTGTCTTATTATGTTGAGGACAGAAACACGTGCCTTCTGTGCCTTGCCAACCCAACTGGTGTTTTACTGCACAATTGAGTTTGAGGATGTTTGAAAACAAGATGCCTAGGAAAAGGTTTCAGCCCGAGAAAGAAAGTAGTGATAGGTTGGAGAAAATTGCATAATGAGAAATTTCATAATTTGTACACTTGACCTAATATTGTTACGATGATTAAATTGTGTGTGAAATGAGAAATGCATGTAAGATTGTTGTCAAAAAACTTGAACATAGAGATCACTTAATCCAAATTAGCTACCATGGTGAAGAAATATTTTTTTTCCAAAATAGCAGGCACTTTCTAAGGAATACTCTGCCGTGAGGTTAGTTTATCTATGAATAAAGCGTAGGTGACGTAGTAATCGTCGTACATTTGCAGAGAGTACGGAGAGAGATGGCATAATGCAGGCAGACTGCTGAACAAGCAGAATGGTTTTGATGACTTCCAGTCCGCAGCAGAATACTTGCTGAAGGAAGGCTATACATGTCGTGAGAAGCTGACCATCCGGGGTGGCTCAAATGGTGGGTTGTTGGTTGCAGCATGCATCAACCAAAGACCTGATCTCTTTGGAGCAGCTATTGTTCAAGTTGGGTAAGAATCTCATTGACTGCTTGGCATGAAACTGCATAAACATGTAGACACTTGATGCCAGTGAACCAGTGTTGCCAGTTTCTGCATACAAACGTCAGTTCAGTTATTTATCTATGAGACTTCGTAGATGTCTGATTTGCTTTCATGATTTCTTTTACAGTGTTTTAGACATGTTGAGGTTTCACAAATTTACGATAGGCTATTCCTGGGTTTCGGACTATGGCAGCTCCGACGAGAAGGAACATTATGAAAATCTAATCAAATATTCACCACTGCACAATGTGAAAGTGCCTCATGGTGATATTATTCAGGTCAGTGAAGCTGAATGCAAAACTTGTCAGAACTTAACCGACCTAAACTGTTTTCATACTTTTGTTGTGTAGAAGTTTATTACTCATTTATTTTTGAAATTTATTAATTGAATGTATAATGAGAATTTAATGTAGTTGAACCGTATGGTGATGAATGTCTTCTTTGAAGAGAGTGTTAATTTATTTTTCTTTGTCTTAGTATCCTGCCACTTTGCTGCTGACAGCTGATCATGATGATCGTGTGGTTCCTCTGCATTCTCTCAAGTTCATTGCTACCCTGCATCATGTGTTGAGAAATTGTTCTGATCAGGTAAGTTCAATCGTTAAAGCATTACAAGCTACAGAGCATTTGTATAAGCTCTGCACACTTTATGCTTTTGTGATCAACACTTTGAGAGAGAAATGTCGATTTGAAATAAAATGCGTGAAGTTTCAACATGTCAGATTTATTCTTCATATTTTAACTTTGGAGAAATTCGATAGTGAGACTGAAGATCATTGAAATTTGATCCTAAAGAAATGGGAATCTTTAACCTAAGAACATACATCTCATAACCACAGCAGTTTATAAAGTTCATGTAAAAGTAGAAGATGTTTTGACCATTTGTGTAATTCTGTTTTAATGGAATGCAGATGCACCATGAAGGAACTGACTTCATTCCTACAGAACTCACAGCTACAAGTATTTTGATAATGTCATCTGAATTGTTAATTTAAAAAAAAATCCTCATCTTGTTTTGCAGACAAATCCTCTTCTGATTCGTATTGAAACTAAAGCGGGCCATGGACTTGGTAAGCCCACAGCAAAATTGGTGAGTAATTACTTGAATGTTTGTTCCTTTTATGCTGTATGGCATTATTTGGGTTTAAACCTCCATCTATTTTCTTTTTGTCTAGATTGAAGAAAACACAGACATCTTGTGCTTCCTAGTGGAATCGTTGGGTCTTGAATTTCAGAAATGATTTTCAATTTTGTGTGATGAAAGGGTATGAAAATGTATTTGGTGTTAGAAAAGAAGTTTTTGACCTTTATCATCCATGCATCACGCCTTCATGTGATCCAGCTGGCTGTGCTGGCATATTGCTTGGAGGTAAAGTCCAGTTGGCAGCCCCATAATGTGGGGATTTAAGTCCCATATGATAAATTGTATTATTCACATTTGTTTCTCACTGGTTTTGGTACACACAGTTTATGTGTGTTGTTGCTGGAAGACGCGAGGTCCTTACAAATTTTGGTATGGTCTTCATTATTTTAATTATTCTTTCCTGAAATTACAGTGTGTTTGGAATGAAGATGTTTCCAAGTTTGGTGCTGTAATTAATTGGCTATTTTTACATACTTTGTCTAAAAAATTTGAGTGCTTTGATTAGGAGAGGATGCCTCATACTGACATCTTCCGACGCTATATAGTCTGAGCTGCAGACAGTGTTATTAAATAAACTGAAGCAATTTTGTAAATGTTCTATTTTTTATGGTTTAATTTTCATTTTTCCAAAAGTTTCCCAATCCTGTTTGTATCTTTTACCTTCTTTTTCTTCAGGAAAAATTTAGAGTTATGAGATGACCATGGTGTCTGTGTGTTTTGCTCCTTTTAACTTTTGACCAGTTGACCAATTTTAACAAAATTTTGTGCATGATTTATGCTATTAGAAGCTACCCCAAACTTGTCCTGCTAAATTTTATACAATCTGTAATAACATAACACTAGCTATGAAACATGTAGTTGGATAATGTAAGAAGTGCTTATTTTAATGAGTATTTTTGCAAATATAATGTATGCAGACATCAGGACTTGAATTGAAAGTATAGCTTTTACCTCTGTAATGCTACAGATCTGGTCACTCGACTCGGTAAATCCATTAACATTAATTTGTGGTTTTCTTGAAATTGGCAGACTTGCTGGTTTTTTTACTTGGTAGACTTCTGGCATAAATAACTGTAGTTACTATAAGGCAAAGATAAGCCATATACAGATAAATAAAAGGATTTTACAAATTATTAGAATTATGACAGTCTGCACCCTTACATTGGTATGGGATTTTGAAAATTGCGAAGCACATGTCTTTTTATTTTATTGGGAAGAAAGCAGGACCATAATCCAGCAAAAAAAATTGTGAATTCTTTTAGTGTCTATATGTAGTGAAATTTGCAGCATTCACTGGTGATGGTCCAACATTGCTGACTATAATACAAACTACAGCTGTTCAGAATAAATGTTAGTGGTAACACAAACTAATCTTTATTATCCATGCATCATGGCATGCACATTCCAGCTAGCCACATGTGACACTGGCGTACCACTAAATTGTTTACCCCGGAGTTAAAGTCTCCCACGTGATAAAGGTTAAAAAATGACTTATAGCCATCAGAAAATTGCATGTATAAAAACCATGGAAGGACTTCACCCCCTTACAACACTTCTTTAAGTTACCAGCACAACATTGCTGTGCTGCGAGTTCTGAACTGTCTTCACTTGCCTGGGCTCAGCTGTACAATTTGCTGTGACCTTGAAACTTGCAATTTGGTGACGGCTGCCCAAGAAACTATATGAAAGGACAAAAAAAAAGTTTCTTGAACACAACTGATAAACTAGATGTCAAATCCTGCATTAAAGCCTAAAGCAACAGATTGTATTTAGTCAAAACAAATGTAATGATTTTATGATAATACCTTGCTGTTTAATGGATTAACAAGGTGAGGATTCAAATGTGATGTCATCCATATAAAATTAAAATTTGCCTTCATCAGGTATTTTGTATTAATATTGCATTAAAGTTTGCTGATAAATTCATTTAGTTGTAATTTTTCATCCTTCTTCAGCTGTCCAGCGTGTTCCAATGTATAGTTTTTGTCATTTAGACATTTATTAGGACTCATTGGAGGGATTTTCCTGCTTCACAGGACGTTGCGGCACAAGAGAGTACAATCCTACATCAGTGCCTTCAACCTGTGTGAGGTTTCAAAAACCACGCACATATGTGTGGTCACAGACCATTGTATGTTTATTAAAGTTAAGTAATATTTTCCTTTTGAACTTTTTTCCTTCATCGCTGGTCTTCCGCTCTGGTATCTTAAAAATATTATGAAGAGAAATATTTTTAACCATGGAGTTAAATTATGATCTTGTATGATAAGTTAAAATTTTCTTCGAAGAGGTCTCTGTTCACCTTCTTGCTTACATGCATGTCATATACCACTTTGAAAGGAATATTTTCCTAAATAGAGTGAAGAAAATTTATGAAAATTTCTATCAGTATTGGTCACCCTGACTGGTATTCAGACTAGGTACATTCAAATCTTCTTCTTCTATGGCTCTCCGGTTCGTATTTGGTCCATGGCCTCCTCAATTCTCCTCTTCCATTCGGTCCTCTGTTGGGTCCGTCTGTCCGAGGCTTTGATCGAGGTTTCGAAACATCTTCCTTTCTACGGTGCAAGGTTGTTAGCCTGGAGGAGGACCAGGGTACCTGTCTTAGTCTGACCTCTCCCCATCGACCAATCTGGCTAGGGAGACCCTACCAGTAGCTCTTGGGGTCACTGAGGTACTCAAGCCCCACCACCACGACAAGGTGCAGGTACCATTAAGTGGGTCACATTTTTTACAGATCTGCTGAATTGCTGTGGAAAATTGGTTGAAGTACGAATAGTAGTTTCCATTAAAAGCAACTTTATAATTGATATTCTGTTGCATCTTATCAGCCCTGTAGCACCTTTATATCTCCGCATGTTCATCTTAAATTAAAGGGTGTAGTCAGTAGTAAGTAAATTCATGTGTAGTGATCATCAGATTTATATCAGTAAATGCCTGGCAGAAACTGAACCCCAGTTCTCTGGCCCGTAGCTAGTCGCTTTAACGACTCGACTATCCCAGCGTACTTTTTCATTTTTATTGTAAGCCGTTTTGTGAAAATTTTTGAAGTCTGGTTTTGTGTCATTTGAGGTAGTGGTTACATTAGATTGATGTGGGCTAAAATAGCACACGTCGAGTGCCAAATTTTATATATTGTCTGAAAACTGCTGACTAAATAGCTTCCTCCTTTGTTGACATGTTTCCTCTTCTAACAGTTTTTATATAATACTGTGCAGAATGGAAACTACCTAATACTCATTGTCTAAAGGGTGTAAATGAATACGTTTTTCACATTATATGCAACGCTCTTGCTGTACGAGAAACAACCAATAATTAAAATCAGATAGATTGTAGCTTGTGACACATTTTTTGATTTCGTGAGTGTAAAGTTGTGCGATTTGG